CTAATTACTAAATAAAAATGTGTTCTGCTTTATCTTTAAAATATTGATTTCTTAATTTTGGTTTGGAAAAGTGGGGGTCGTCTTATACATGGGTGTGTCTTATTAATGGAAAAATACGGTATATATGACTGTCCACAGAGAAGGGGAAGAAGACCAATACCTGCCTCCCCTAGATCTATCATCATCATCTTCTTCGTCATCATCATCATCATGATCACCACCACCATAATCATAATATATTTTGCTGTCCTTGCATTTGAATCTTCCAGTCAGACTTAAATTTTCATAGGCGTTAAAAACCAATGCTGAGGGTGATCATGTGAACCAAAACTAAAGCCATGGAGTTCATATCTGAAATGAGATCTGAAACAGGGTCTTCTTCACAGCTTTGTTTCAGCTATTCAGCTTGTTCTTGGATTACAGTAAAGGGTGTCTGCAGGATGTGGCAAAAAAAGTCGTGTTTGTGGTGTTTTATGTCTGACATATGTAAAAAACATACAGACCCCCCTGCCTCTACTTGGAGGTAACACTGCAGCAAGTAAATATTATATGTATTGTATCTTGCAGTCTTCACTGTGGCCCTCCAGATTATCCATAATCATGCAAGACAAAACAATTCTGTGGCATTGGCAAGTTACTGAATACAATTAGTAGCAGTGAAATCAGCCCCTTGTTTAGCCTTGATTAATGTAAACACACATCCTAATGAAGTTCGGTCCTTCGGCATTTGTGTTGTACAATGAATCCTATTATGTAAAGGAGGAGATATATCAAGGGATTATGTCAGGATAACTACAAACCCCAGAAGGCAATCCTTCAGATACATATTGAAGTTAAGATTCCCTGCATGAATATCCCTTTTCTTCCTGGTTCTACAGTATTGATTTATATAAAACTATTGAACAAACAGGACACAGTTACCCAAGAAAAAAAGGTAAAACCATACAGAAGAAAAGAAGGCGGCGGGGGGGGAAGGAAAGGTAAAAGCGTACAGAAGAATTTTTGAAACCTAATAGCAAAAGCAAAAAGCAAACTAGTGAAATTTTCATTCTGGTCTCACATTCTGAACTGGTGCAAGATTTTGTAATTATTCTTTCATTCAAATGGGGTCTTGTGGTGGTGACAATGCACTCACCACGGCCCCAAGAGAAGGGAGTGGAAGAAAATATGCAAAGGTCATTTAATTCAATCAATTTATATCCAATCTTTTACAGGGTTTCCCTTTCAG